TTTGGTACATTATAAAATAGGCTAATATAATATAGATAAAAATGACAAAGATCCACATTTCCCAAAATTCTATATGCAAATTTACAACAATAATTTTGCATTACTGTAAGCTTTGCATTTAAAAGAAAATTTAACTTTGATGTATAACAGACAAATTATATTAAGACATTAAATCTGTAAGTCATTGTTAAAAAATAGTTTACTTATTTTAAGAAAACTTTCCAGTCTTTGATATGTGTTCTTACAAACATGAAAATAAAATTCTTTTCCTCAACTGTCCTTTTCCATTTCACACATACTGATCTTTCCATATGCTTTAAATGATCATGAAATTAATAGGAACTGTTTTTAATAAATCAAAATCATAGCTCCTTTCATGGCAAAATATTTTGGGGAAGACTGAGGTGGAAAAGTTGCTTAAGCTAAGAATAACCAAGAACCACTTAGGAGAGAAATTTAAATAGGACAGTGAACGAGGAAGCAACTATGGGAAGGTGTTTACAGGGTGGAGGCTACTCTAAGAAGGAGATTCTGAAGTGGTGGGACCATGCCAGAGCCCAGGTAAAATAAAATGGAAAGAAGGAATAAAACCAAGCAGTGTTTAACCAACAAGTTAGTTGTGAATCAATGAAAAGACATACTCAGTGGAATAAGTCAGGCCTGCATGTGAATTTTAACAGCCTTTTGGATATGTGGCATTGGGCAAACGTCCTCAGTATTTTTTGAATGTTTATTATTCATAAAATGTGTCATGATACTTATCTAACTGAATTACAGAAAAAAATAAATGGGACATACCATACAGTCCCCAGTGCAGAACATGGCACTGTGGATGCTGGGGAAATGAACACTTTCCAAACACTCTCACCACGCAAAAAGCAACTGAGCAGAGGAAACCAAAGAGGACCCCTTCATGGCAGCTGTGGAGTCATATAAGTCATTCAGAGCATTCTTCATAATTTATAGTTATTGTGAGAGTGTTTATGATCCTAGTTATTTCTGAACCAGTAGCAGGATCAATTTTTTTAAAAAAGTCCATCGTCAAGGAAATAATAACGCCATTTCAAAGCATGTTTCCAGTCATACTAATAAACTCCAAGCCCACACTATATTTGTACTCTGGGAAATACTACTTGATAAAGTCATTGTGTTAGCTATTAAATAATTAAGTTATTAGAATAACTAAAACTAGTGAAAACAATACTAAAACCAGTTGTTTGGAATATACTACATTTTGCATCCTGGCTATTTGGCAAATGTATTATTTTAGATGGAAATGACTAAATTTCTTTAAATAATTTGCTATGATATTAAATGAAGCCATGATTTTACATGATTATGCCCCAGAAGAGGGCAATTTGTGAAACATCTACTTTATAGTTTTTTAAACTTAAAAGTTTTCAATTACTACCAGCACTGTTATTTAAAAATAGTTTATTTATAATTCAGCAGTCCATTGGTCATTGTTGAAATAATTTTGCTACTCTCAGATTTAGGAAAGCATTTTGTAAAACAACCATGCCACACACACCACAATGTCCAAAGAGACTTGGGGTCTTGCAGTAGTTTTAAATCACATGGCTGAGTTAAGCAGACAAGTGTGCCACCTGGAGGTGAAAGGAAGAAGCACACCTTGATTTTATTTGTAATATAAAACTGGTGAAGTCAAATTAAAAAAATTATTTGCTATTACTTATCTTATTTAAAAACACGGGAAATTATTTATAAGGTTCCATCTGCATAAAGTAATCCTTTTAGTACCAGACTACATGTTAAGTGTGTCTCACTGGTAACTCTCACAAAATGGAAACAGCCTGACATTACACCAACCAAAGGTACACAGTTTGCTAATTAAAAAACTGAATTTAACTGTATTCTCTGCAGCAAATGCTTTCTTTTCTTTTTATAATGAATATAACATGTGTTTCCAGAAGTACATGTAAGTTCTGAGACAACCACCATGATCTATTTAGACATGTGGTCCAAAAGTTAAACTAATTAACTAGAGACATTTCTTACTTAAATGAGAAAAGTTTCTTTCATTAGAAGATCTGTGTAATTTTATTCTGGCAAAGGAATAAAGTTTATTTAGGGTAATTTTGTTTGGCAGAAAGTCAGGGCTTCTAAAACATATACCAATAATTGTTAAGGTTAAAGTAAAATAGTCAATTCTTTTAAACCCACATAAAAATTCAGACTTTTAATATCTTAACCAATAGGCTGATTATAAAAGAGATTATGACATTCCAATTCGTCTTAGAAGTGTGGATATCAGGATTACTGTTAGTATTGGGCCATCTTTTAAGAATTATGTATTTTATAAAAACTTACAAAAGGTCACTAAGCTTTTACTTAACTGAAAACATGACATACATTAAAATGTGAAAAAAAGATTTTAAGCATAAAATTTCACAACTTGCGCACACACACACACGCATACATATTTGGAAGTAATTCATACAATCATACTGTTTTGGGTTCTTGAACATTATAATATACTCTTAGCTCATCTCCTTTTACTGCTTCATTGTTAGAAATACTGTTTCAGTGCTGACTTCAAATTTCCTTCCATTGTAAGAAATACTGTTTTACTTTGAATTTACTTCCTTCCTTTCCTTTCCTTTCTCCTTTTCTCTCCCTCCCTCCCTCCCAGCAATCCTCCTACCTATGGCTTCCTGCACACCTGGCTTTATTGGTTGAGATGGGAGTCTTGCTAACTTTTTCCCCAGGCTAGCCTGGAACCAATATCCTCCCATCTCCATCTCTTTTGTAGCTGGGATTACAGGTATGAGCTACTGTGCTTGCCTCAATTTTCTTTTTATTAAATCAGAAAATTCTACAGTTGATTATTATTTCCAAATTAATTTTCCTAAAAATATCTTGGCAAAATACCACTTTAAAGTACAATACTGCTTAGTAAGCCTTCGTCTCTTGGTTCCTATACTAAGGGAGTTCATTACTGTGAAGTTAATTTTCTTCTTTATTTATATCCCTTAATTTCTCACATACCCTGCATTGCATCATTTTGTGAAAGATGCTTCTTCCTGCAGTGATGGCTATAAAATATTTAAGCACTGAGTACAAACAATTCTTCCTAATTTATTTAAGAAATAAACAAGGGTATGGGTCTAAGCCCAGCTTGTTATACAGATGCCCTCTAAATGTTGCTAAATTCAGGGCAAACATGATAGGCAACTCACTGGACAGAATGGCTATGATTCAGATAAAAGCTTAATAATTAAAGCCTGAAGTATGCATCAGGGAATACAATGAAAAGTTCCCAAGCATTGGGAAGATTTAAATACATTTGAAAGCAACAAAGGGGCTGGGGGCATGGCTCAATTGGTAGAGCACCTGCCTAGGAAGCACAAGGCCCACAGTTTAAACCCCAGTGCCACCAAAGAAAAAAAAAAGCTACTCAGGAGAATGGCCTCTTTATTTTTGTGGTGCTGGGGATTTAACTAGGACCTTGCACATGCTTAGCAAACACTCTACCACTGAGCCTCATTCCCAGCCCCAAGAACAATACTCTTACTCTAGGGAGGTATCAAAAGGTCTGGTAGGTACTATCCTAGCAGCCAAGACTCATCTGTGAACACAAAAGAGAATAAGCTTCCCTGCCCCTGAGCTTATATTTAATTACTGGAAGACCTTCCCATTAAACCAACCAAACCTCATCTTAAAACTTACCACTGAGCTGATAGTGTTCTGGAAAGAAACAGAATCAAAGCTGGTTTTTACCTGATGGGGGTCCTACTAAGCCATGGAATTCCTGAAGTTTCTCTGATTTAGAAAGTTTTGGAACAGGCATGATGGCACATGCCTATAACCTCAGCTACATGGGTGGTAGAGATGGGGGGGACTCACAGTTTGAGGCCAGCCCTGGCAAAAGTTAATGAGATCCTTTCTCAAAAAACAATCTGCATGTGCTAGTACATGCCTATAATCCCAGCTAGGCAGGAGAAAGATTTGGGTGAGGTTGGTCCTAGGGAAAAAGTCTGAGACCCTACCTGAAAAGTAAACTAAAGCAAAAAATGACTGAATGTGGATCAAGTGGTAGAACACCTGCCTAGCAAGCACCAATCCCTGAGTTCAAACCCCAGTAATGCCTCCTCACCAATAAAAATGAAAAATGTTCACATGCCTGCATTATGCATTCAAAAAATACAGAAAGGATAACCACCTCTTTGATAAATATGAGCAACTTAAGAGGTAAATGCTGAAGTATTCCCTATAACTCTAGTCTGTTAAAGAAGAACTGATAAAAAGGAAATGTTTTAAAATTTCTTCAACCTTTCCTGTTCTGTTCTTCCCATCTCCAATACTACCATCTTAGTTCTTACCACTTTTTAAATCTGTATTAGCTTAACCACTTCCTAAATTAATTTCTGTCTGCAGGCCCAAATTCTTACTATATTCTACCATCACATTTTCAAATGCATCCTCCAGAATGGAGTCTAAAATAGTCTCTGTGAAGTACAAATCAATCTGATTATTCGCCTGTTTGGTATTCCCACATCGAGTCAAAAGTCCACATGCCCCTGACTTCATCCTTCCCCACTTCTGTCCTAAGTGCTAGGGTCCTTTCCCAAGGGAAGAAGGCCAGGGGGCTAGCCATAACCTACCTCCTAACCCAGGGTCTAGAAAGAGGGAGCTATAGCTTGCGGGTCCCTGTTTCTACTTAGTAAAAACTTGAATTGCTTTGGGAGATAATAAAATAATTCCACATCAGGAGCTATCAAGACCCTTATTTTATGGGTTATGAATCCAATGACTAAGACAATGGTTTTCAAACATTTTTAAATTGATCAGAATCACTTTCTTCAAACAATGTCTAATTCAGAACCCAAAGAAGAAGTGGTTGAGATAGTATCTGAAGGCTGAAAACACAGGCAAAGACTGAATCAAATAGGCCATAGAATAAAACTTCAAACTTAGTTGGTATAATGCAAAGTCAGTTGGGGGAAGAAGAAGAGATGTGATAAAATGTGATTGATATTTTCTTGAAAGACCACTATGGTTGCTGTGTGTAAAAGAGTTGAAATTACTGAGAAATTAAATATTTCTGATGTTTCTTCATAAACCTTGATACCTATAAAGCATGATATGCAATTTCACATTAATGGGCAATCATGATAAAGGAGTCACAGAATACCTGGTCCTTGCTGGTTAATCCCAAGTGCATCACAAGGTAAAAATGCACCAGGAAATCTGAGTTTGGCAAAACATCCTGGCGTCTGGTCATCATAGCACAGATCAGTCTGTAGGCTTGTAGTTTGCCTTCCTTATATTCATTTGGGAGTGTCGTTGCCTGCCAAGGAGATGATGTTTCCAGATTAAATCAAGTCCAGATGCAGATCATTTCAACATTTCATTTACTTCTCAGTTTTCCAGAAGAGTTGTTTATGGAGACATGGGATGCAGTGGCTTTAGTAAGACCCAGCCTGTCTTCAAAACATGCAGTCTTGGGCAATTACAGTTTTTAAACTCAATTTCAGAAAGGAAAAGGAAATTGCAATAAAAGAATAAACACATATCCACTTGCCTTAAATAGCCATGATGCAAACATTCTGAGTGGTGGGATCAAGAGCGGAGGAGATGGAGAAGACTGGTTATCTAGGCTTATTGCTAGATTATCCCGTATCTAATACACAAAGAGAATTTTAAGGAAGGTAACATTCCACTTATCACAATAATATTGCAACAATATAGCAGCCAAGTAGCTGCTTCCAATTAAATTTATGTAAGAAAATTTATAATATTCACAAGTTTTTATTTTATTGTGAGATCTCTTATCCTTTGTGTGCCTGGATTACTGTATGTGGGTATAGGTCTAATACAAAAGTAAAGTACTGCTTTTCTTTGAATGTGAATGCCTGGAGAGGTCCTGAACTCCAAATGACAAGGAATGATTTAAATGTATGAACATGAATCATGTTCTGGAAAAAAAAGATTTAACAACATAGGGAAAATATATGCTTAGTCCCAAAACAAAAGCCAGAATGAAAATTGTATGAACTCTAAGATTCTACTTCTGTAAAAATGTTTTATCCATGGAAATAGCACTATACATTAATATAAGCTATTTCTATCAGACGGTGATTTAAATTTTTTATACTTTCTACAGTTTTCAATATTTATATAATAAACCCAACATCACTTTAATAAAAATAACTAAAACTAATTAATATTCTATTTTAATATCCTATACTAACATACTTTTGCACTAAATGAAATAACTCATGAATTTATAAAATATTAAAATTATAAACATTATGATTGACTCTTTGATAAGTAAATATACTTCATCTAATTGCCTAAATTGTGTTACAGAATATGTTCAGTAGGTAACTGCAATAGTTTTTATATTAAATGATGAATCAATTTTACTGGACTAGAATAAAAGACAACATAGCAGAAGATACCTTTGCCAGTTTGTACCAGAGTTCATAGAGATAGCCAAAAACTTTGGCATGGATCTTAGGTGACTGGATATTATTCACATCTCCAAGGATTCCCAAGACCCTTCGCCATAACACAGCAGCAGAATCTGGGTGCCAACCAGTGAGGTTCCCTCCAGCAATTATACTACAGTCATCTGCAAGGCATTCACTGCTATCTATAGAGAAAAGCATACGAGTTAGACATGTAAACACAATCCTGATGTCATCATCATCAGTTTTCCTTAGTACAATTCACCTATTCTTAAAATTTATGAATTCTCAGTGAAGTAATCAAGATGAACTCAAAATGGATCAAGGATCTTAATATCAGACCACAAACTCTAAAGTTGATACAGGAAAGAGTAGGAAATACTCTGGAGTTAGTAGGTATAGGTAAGAACTTTCTCAACGAAACCCCAGCAGCACAGCAACTAAGAGATAGCATAGATAAATGGGACCTCAAAAAGCTAAAAAGCTTCTGTTCACCAAAAGAAATGGTCTCTAAACTGAAGAGAACACCTACAGAATGGGAGAAAATATTTGCCAACTATACATCAGACAAAGGACTGATAACCAGTATAGGGAACTTAAAAAACTAAATTCTCCCAAAACTAATGAACCAATAAAGAAATGGGCAAGTGAACTAAACAGAACTTTCTCAAAAGAAGAAATTCAAATGGCCAAAAATCACATGAAAAAATGCTCACCATCTCTAGCAATAAAGGAAATGCAAATTAAAACCACGCTAAGATTCCACCTCACCCCTGTTAGAATAGCCATCATCAGCAACACCACCAACAACAGGTGTTGGCGAGGATGCGGGGAAAAAGGAACCCTCTTACACTGTTGGTGGGAATGTAAACTAGTACAACCACTCTGGAAAAAAATTTGGAGGCTACTTAAAAAGCTAGACATCGATCTACCATTTGATCCAGCAATACCACTCTTGGGGATATACCCAAAAGACTGTGACACAGGTTACTCCAGAGGCACCTGCACACCCATGTTTATTGCGGCACTATTCACAATAGCCAAGTTATGGAAACAGCCAAGATGCCCCACCACTGACGAATGGATTAAGAAAATGTGGTATCTATACACAATGGAATTTTATGTAGCCATGAAGAAGAACGAAATGTTATCATTCGCTGGTAAATGGATGGAATTGGAGAACATCATTCTGAGTGAGGTTAGCCTGGCCCAAAAGACCAAAAATCGTATGTTCTCCCTCATATGTGGACATTAGATCAAGGGCAAACACAACAAGGGGATTGGACTTGAGCACACGATAAAAGCGAGAGCACACAAGGGAGGGGTGAGGATAGGTAAGACACCTGAAAAATTAGCTAGCATTTGTTGCCCTTAACGCAGAGAAGCTAAAGCAGATACCTTAAAAGCAACTGAGGCCAATAGGAAAAGGGGACCAGGAACTAGAGAAAAGGTTAGATCAAAAAGAATTAACCTAGAAGGTAACACACACACACAGGAAATCAATGTGAGTCAATGCCCTGTATAGCTATCCTTATCTCAACCAGCAAAAACCCTTGTTCCTTCCTATTATTGCTTATACTCTCTCTACAACAAAATTAGAAATAAGGGCAAAATAGTTTCTGCTGGGTATTGAGGGGTGGGGGAGAGGGAGGGGGTGGAATGGGTGGTAAGGGAGGGGGTGGGGGCAGGGGGGAGAAATGACCCAAGCCTTGTATGCACATATGAATAATAAAAAAAAAAAAATCAAGATGAAAGATGTGAAATGGCTGAGAATTTGAAAGGATGGAAAAGCAGAATCAATGATCAAATGATTTTGATTCTTCGAACTCAAAAGGCAACAAGAGATGAAATATCATTTCTGGGCTATCCTGTGAAGGGTTTTATAAAGCAGGGAAGGGAACCTGGTGTGGGGGGAAAGGAGGGAAGGGGATGAGGGAGACTTTAAGGAGGATGGGTGCTATGGAAATAGGTGGTCAGGAATGGTCTCAGTACTGGAGAGACACTGGTGTTGGTTTTTATGGTTGTTAAATCAGGTTTATTAAGGATAGAATCTGCATATAAGAAATTTGCATCCCTCTTAGGTTTAGAGAATGTAGACAGTTATGTAAGTTACTACAAACTGCCCCCATAGTTAAAATAGGTAACAGACCCATCAATCAAAAAAGTGCCCCTTTATGATCAGTCCCCTCCTTTTATTCTGAGCCTCTCATAATCACTGTTTTGTTTTCTGTTCCTTTGGTTTTGCCTCTTCCAGAATGTCATATAAATCAAATCCTAGTGAGTAGCCTGTCCGTCTGGTTTCTTTCACTTAGCATAATACGTTTGAGATTCATCCACAAGGTTTTGTATCAGTAGTCTGTTCCTTCTGACTGCTGGTGAATATTTCACTTTTTGAGGAATCATAGTTCATCCATTCATCTGTTAAAGGACATTTAAGATCGGTTCCTATTTTTGGGAGACTGAATAAAGCTGCCAGGAACATTCATGTACAAGTTTTTGTGTGAGCATATATTTATATTTCTTTTTGGTAAATACCTAAGAATGAGATTCCTGAATCACATTGTAAGTGCATGTTTAACCCAGGTTAACCTGAAGAAGAGAAAGAACTGTAAGACCATTTTCTAAAATGGCATTTCCACAAGCAAGGTAGTACAGTGAACACCTCCATGAGTGAAGTACAAGAGAGTCACTTTTTCGACATCCTCGCCAGGACTTCATAATGTCAGTTTAAAACATTTTAGCCATTCTAGTAGGTATGGAGCAGTATCTTGCTGAGGTTTCATTTCATTTCTCTAATGAGTAAAGATATCAAGCACGCAGTCATGTGAACCAAACTTGAAGATGGTGAGCAAGTGGCTGTGCAACTGTGTCAGAGAGAGTCAATCAATGCCCATCACGGCACAGAGCTGGTGCAAATGCCCTGAGATGAGAGTATGCTAGCAGTTCAAAGCACAAGTGCCTCTTTTTTAATACACATTTAACTATGAAGTGAAAAGTTTCATACACTTAAGCAAACAGGTAAAGAAGAATCCAATGATGCATATGCACATCTAATTTTGGATGGAAAATATGGATAAGTTCCACTGAACCTATGGAATTTTGTTCTTTGGATGCCTGCTGTTTGAGGATGGCTAAAAGATAGAGAAGTCTAACTTGATCTGCTCTCATGCTTCCTAACACGTTAAACAGAACAGAAAAGGAGCTAAAAATATCAAAGTGCCACTTAAAGAATGCTTCATTATGACAAATAGTATTTATCTTATAGTATGTATATAATAATTAGTAGCAGCAAATATTTTAACTGCACATTGTATTATCTCACTTCATTCTTCTGACTGCCTCACAGCATTTAACACTGCTTCCTTATGTCCTTTTCTCACAATTGTGGGGGGGCCTACAATTTTTTCCATGACCAAGAATATTCTCCTAACCATGGCAGTTCAGATTTTTCATTCTGCTTTCCAAACACCAACACTAGAGATTTTGTACAAAGCTAGGTCTCTGTTCTTATGTGTCATAACTTCAGCCCCTGTGTTTTATCCCCTCCTCTCTACTAGCATTTCCATTAAAAAGACACTTGTGCTTTGAACTGCTAGCACACTCCAATCTTGGGCATTTGCACCAGCTCCGTGCCCTGATGGGCTCCAATTGACTCCCTGCCCCGACCCTACAGCTGCACACCTACTTGCTCACCATCTTTAAGTTTGAGTAGGCCACCAAAGGCCTCCAGGTTGCTTAATACAGCACTCAGTTTTCAGTCCTCAGCAGCATTTGACTCATGTATTCAAGACTCCTTTCAGAAATGCTTAATTTATCTGACCCCAAGGTATGACACCTACCTGGTTTTCCTCTTTTGCTGGTTTGTTTTCATACTGCAAAACAGAAGGACACCCCACCCCCCCGCCCCAGGGTTCCTCTCCTTTCCCCCCACTCCCCTTTTCTTCTTTCTTTTCTCAATCTTATATATACTATTGCCACATTGATTTAAATGCCATTCCTATACTCACATCTCTAAATAATCATTTTTGGTCTGGATTTCTTCCCTCACTAATTAGACTAATTTCTCCAACGACCTTCTCTTATTGTTGTTCTTATTTGAGGTGCTAAGAATCAAACCCAGGGCCTCACAAAGGCTAAGAAAGTGTTGTGCCACTCAGCAACACCCCGCAGCTCATACAAAGACCTTCTTGACAGTTCCAAATGCTCAGGGAAGAATGGAAGTTAGTCCACAAGCAGGCATGAGCTCTGGTGAATTTCACCATGTTCTTGAAGAACCTCAGATAGAAGTACATTAGTATTTTGGGTTTTTGGGGTTTTTTTCTTCATTTTTTTTAGGTAGAGTCTCACTATGTAGCCCAGGCTGGCTCTTGAACTTGCTATGTATCTGAGCCTGGCTTTGAACTCCCAATACTCTGCTTCAGCCTCCTGAATGCTAGGATTATAAGTGTGCACCGCCACATCAGTCTTACATTGGGCTTTATTTGTAGAACTCAAACTTCAGGGAAAAGATTCTCCCTAAACTCTCTCCTACTCAGAGAATAAGTAAATGCTCATTTATTTTCTTTCAAGACTGCATCTCTGCACTAAGCTGTGCATTGGTGACTCCAGCTCAGAAGCCCCCTAGTTTACTTTCTCCATCTTCTGGAATGAAAGCTACAGCCTGTAGGTAATACAGCTGTGACTAGTTCTTCTTTTTTCCTTTTTTAAATCTTTTTTTTTTTAAATGCTCATTTATTTTCTTTCAAGACTGCATCTCATGCACTAAGCTGTTGATTGGGTGACTCCAGCTCAGAAGCCCCCTAGTTTACTTTCTCCATCTTCTGGAATGAAAGCTACAGCCTGTAGGTAATACAGCTGTGACTAGTTCTTCTTTTTTCCTTTTTTAAATCTTTTTTTTTTCTTTTATTCATACTTGCGTACAATGTTTGGGTCATTTCTCCCCCCTTCCCCTCATCCCTTCCCTTTTCCCTGTCCTCTCCCTTCACCGCCCCCCACCCTCGCTACTAGGCAGAAACTATTTTGCCCTTATCTCTAATTTTGTTGAAGAGAGAGTTATTAAGCAATTATAGGAAGGACCAAGGGGTTTTGCTAGTTGAGATAAGGATAGCTATACAGGGAGTTTACTCGCATTGCTTTCCTGTACATATGTGTTACATTCTAAATTAATTCTTCTCGAACTAACCTTTTCTCTAGTTCCTGGTCTCCTTCTCCTATTGGCCTCTGTCGCTTTAAAAGTTCTGCTTTAGTTTCCTTGCATTGAGGCAACCAAATGCTATCTAGTTTTTAGGGTTTCTTACTATCCTCATACTCCCTTGTGTGCTCTGC